AACAAGGCATGGGTCCGTATTATGGGTACGCAACCCTAGCTTTTTACATAAATATTAATTGTGTGGTCCATGACTAATTTCAAAATAATATTAGATGTTTGAAATAAATGTGTAGAAAACATAGCTTAAAATTTCAAATTGTATGATGAATTGCACGTATATAATGGTTTTTCTTGTGGTCTACATGCAGCAGCTAGGTCAATAAAAATACGATTCTGATGAATCCTTTGGACATTGTAGTCTAACTTAGGAGTAAATAAGTTACCATTCTCAATAAAAATTATTAAATTCAAATCTCGTGAATCAGATGATAATAAAAAAATAAGGTTATTGTATATTTGATTAAACAAACTCTCTCATTCGTGTATATATATCTACTTGCAGGGCATGACTAATAGCCACTGCCAGTGTTGCAGCGTCTAAAACTGACGTATGAATATTCTTGCCTTCATGAAAACATAAACATCCATTAGTTAATTATATTATAATATCCACACATTTGTTAGGATTTAAATAGAAAAAGCATAGAATGGATTAATTAATACGCCTGAATTTGGACAGTGTATTGTCTACATGGGTTTAACTTGATGATGTGACCATAAGCTGGCTTCTATACTTATTCCTTGAACATAGAAATAATAATATAAGAAAATTAAAGTAGAGAAGAAAGAAGGGATTATGTTGATTGGTGTGATTTGATGAGTGAGTGTTGTTGAAATAATATAATATTAAGAAGAAACAAGACAAAGCTGTGGAGAGATGTAGAGAATATGATATCTACTGTAGATTTGTGGGCACATGCAAACTTACAGGATGCATTACTCCACACGATTTGCAAAGCATATGATCCCTAGAAAACGCTGTCTAGTGTCTGTGAAGAGCCAAAATTAAAATAAAAAGAGCCCCCACTGCTTCCAAATCCATCCAATTATAAAACCAAATCAACTTCTATCTCATTTTTATTAGATTTTCATTGATTATTCCTATATCTACACGGGGACTTGTACCAAACACCTTAGACAGTAGGGGTTTCCTTTGATTCGTCTTTCTTTTTGGTGATCCATGGCTGAGATCGATAACCTGGAGTTGAGTTTTGTGTAGAGGGAAATATCATAGAAAGAGTAGACCTAGGTATCTTAACTTTTTTAGTTTTATATATATAAGAATCCTCCAAGATTCTTGAAAAAGATCGATCATCCAATATGATCACATCTGCTGGCGTGATATGATCTCTCTACTTTTATTTATAACATTCTTTAATTATTTTTTATTTTTGTTGGGTCTCATCAGTAGGTTATTTTGAATAATCATTGGTTTATTAAAATTAGTAAATTTATTAAGATTCAATCTGATGTCCTTAATTTCTATTACAAATTATATTTTTAACGTACTATTGGTAATCTAGACAACAATTTTGGCAATGATATTTTTGTGTTTATTCTATCAGTACAAACTTTCATGTTTGTCACAATCCCATATCTTTTTGATGAGAATCGTTGTCTTGGAGTCAGGGATTTGAAGGTTTCTAGCAATTTCTCTCTTGACAAAATGTTTGACCAATTGAGTAGAATTTGTATACCTTTCCATTCATATGGTGAGAGAGCAATTGCAAGTGATATAGTGCTTGCATTGTATTTGTTTTGCAAGCTGCATTCAGCATCGGTAAACCTATGTATACATCATTTGATGAAGACTCAATGTGTTCCAAGCAGTAATAAGATGTATATTTTCTGCATTTGCAAAAGTTTTAAAATTGAAAGTCCTTGTGGCGTGATTGCTGTAGCTTGGATCTTTGCTTGTAGATATTTCTTTACACAGTACTTTCTTTGTTTGCTTGTTTGTTAAGATATTTGCATCTGCAAAATGTTAGATAAATAAGTGTAATTTATATCTTGTGATAGTATTTTGATATAGTAATCAATACACGTTAGTAGTCCTTACGTCAACCAAATTGGCATCGAGTCTGGATGCTTCTTCAGTTGTTTGACAATGATTTGTTGTACTATATCTGTCGGAGTTGTAAATATTACTGATTTTTGTTGTTAAATCTTCGCAGCCATTGTGAAGATTTTTGAGTGTATGAAAATTTAGATTTTGGATATTTGCATTGTGTTTATATAATTTTTTGGTTGATAGTGAATAGTATTATACGTTATTGTTTAAATAAAAGTTAATTGCATTCTTTTATACCGTGATGATATACCAGTGATTATTTTAATATACTAGTGAATTAGAATTAACCCTACGATGATATATATAATTTAAAAGAAGGCCCAGAAGAACTTTCAATGGCATAAATTATACACAATAAAGTTAGAATGTTTTCGTTAAATTTAAGTTTCCTCCTAATAGAATTTTATCTTAGTGGCCTAATAAAAATATAAAATAATCTAAAGAAGAGGAAAGTGAAATTATGTGATCTGTAAATTGCATTAGTTTTCTCTAAATTATCACATGTAAATAGTTTCATAACTTTGTCTATTTTTTAACTTTTTTGGTTTCTTGGATCTATTCATCGTATCGGTTTACTTGATTATTTAGTCAACAGGGAAGAGAAGCCATCATGAATATCGTATGAAAAGATAAACTTCGATCTAATTACTGCATGTAGTCCCAAAAGAAGTAATCAATTCATTCGACTTGGCATATGCAATCTATAACTTGAGCTCCTTTTCAGAAAGAGGATGTATATATGTTACATTGGTTTCTAAAGTTTCTGTGCTAATCAATACATCAAGAGCTAGCATGTAGCTTATTTATTTGGGGGTAAGTCTAATTTTATATCAATCAATCTTAATAATTAGCTTTTTTGTTGTCATTACTAATCTTTTCACTGATATTCACATTAATACAGCTGTTTATTATTAATTGCTCTTCTTGCTGATTATATAAAAAGTAGCTAACAACTTTATTTTTAACTATATTTGAGCATCTCCAAATAACTCTTTATGTAATCTAAACTCTTTATTATAAAGCGTTTATCCATAGAAACAAGAGTCCAATAGACTCTTTATTCTTTAAATATAAATTAAATAGTGAGTTTGACTCTCCATATTTAAAAAGTCAAATTTCACTCTCTATCCTAATTTAAAATAATAAATTACAAGTTTTTATAATTTTATTTATGATTTATCTCTCCTATTAAGTTTTTTTCTTGAAAAAACATATTCTCTCTCCTAAAATTTAAAAAGTCTATTGGATTTGAATAAAAATTTTGTTCCTTATATTTAAAAATCAATAAAGATGTTCTTGATTTATATGATATATAATCTTTAAAATAAAGAATACCATTAAAGCGATCAAACACATCAAGCTCCATGATATTGGCCCTCCTGAGTTGATGGCAAGAACAATTAATTGTCGATATAAAAAGAATGGGGCCTGTCAGTATTATAAAATTATAAGAGTATTTATTTGTCTGGCCATTTTTCTTCACCATAATTGAAAACCTAAATTTTACGGTTTGCTTTTTAAGAAACATAGTAAAACCTAATTACACTTTCACCTTTTTATAAAAGGTGAAAAGAGTGGAGCCGAAAGAAGCCAGCTGCTTCTGCTTGGCTCCTTCCTTCTTCGATGGTCGCGTGATTAATGACATTGAAATGAGATACTGTTAAACATTGAAAAGACATTCATTTTAGTGTATTTTGAGGCAAATTTTCTTAACCCATAATGAAAATTGATAATCATATGTTTATCGTGAAAACCAGTACCACAGTATAGTATCCGTAGACTTCTTAACTACTTGTTTGATTAAATTTTTGTAATTCAAATTCCGACGCTTTGACTAATGCTTGGCGTTATAACCTATTCCAAACCATTACCATGTGTTAAACTAGAAGGGAATGTCGTTCGTAGCCAAGTCAAAAAAATTTGAGTTGACAAATGTTTTAAACACCGATCTTAAAATAGGGTATCAGAATGTTGATCTTAAGCCTTTCTTTTAACATATTTTTTTTTCATAAATCGCCTCGAGCCAATGGCCCCTGCCATGATTTAGGTAAGTATATTATTTGCTTCCATAAAATTCTAATTACTAAATTTCAAAGTATTTCTTTTTTATTTGAACTTTTCCTTAACTTCATATCGTGTTTGAGATTACTAGACAATTAAAAAAAAAAAAATTCAATCCTAAATTTAATAGTGATTATGTTATAAAATCTTTCAAAATTCAACTAAACTCTGATGTAGAGATAATCCAGTTTTAAACTACAAACTCAACACTTCTTAAGATTTGCCCTCACCGAGAACCTGTTAATACTATTCCTTTAAACTATTCCCAAGATGTCTTATCTATAATTCATTCTCATCAGGCAATGAATTATAAGCGAATAAAAAATGTTTATGTAATTAGTAACATCTAGCAGCTTTGTTCCGTTGCACTTGCGCACATCTCTTCCCTCCCAGAAATTAGAAGGGGGGAAAATTATTCTCACCCTGCCCAATTAAAATTGTACTAATCATTAAGAAAGTTGAGGTATGAGAGAGGCTGAAGATCGCCTCTTCACCCTGTATGTTTTTCATTGAAATTGCCTATATGGCCAAAGTACAAAATATGAAAACGGAAAATCAAATTAGGGTTCTTATGAAAGTAGAATTTGTTCAAATTCAATTTATAGACCTATGGAAACTACTAAATTTGTGGTTTCCATTTAAGTGAAGAAAAACATTTATAATGTAGCTGGAACTAGGCAAATGCGTGGAGTTCTCAATTTAATATGCTAATCATCTTTTCTCAACGATACCATAGAGTCCAATACATAAATGAGAGGACATTGTAGCTGTCAGTGGCTTTATCAATCTTAAACGAGAAACTTTAATATGCACTCCACAATTGATTAACCAGTGTCCTTGACATGCTTTATTCTTGATCCCCATTTTTAACCTTCTTAAACAATTTCATGCCCTATTGAACAATTAACAGGAAAGAAAGAGAATAAAAACATTCTAAAATTCAATGAATGATGTTAGTTTTTTTTTCTAAATGGGAGAATTATGACTTTCTCACTTCTTTGACAATTCATTAACAAGAAGAAACTTTAATTGTCTAATGCAGAAAGTCAATCTACCTTTCAATATTACATAGAAGATTCTTCCACATACTTAAAACATGTTTCATGTTTATAACCTTGCTCGATCTCTCATAGACTTGACCGCGATTTATAATTTGTTGGCCAAAACAACAGGTTATCTTCATCTTCTGATCTGAACTAAACGCGTAGAATTCGAATCCATTAATTTGAGTGGCAGAAAACACTGGCTAAAGCGATAGTCTGAGCTCCAAATCTACTTCTTGAGTGTCACTCGATTCGGAATTCTGACTGCTTGAGCCCCTTGAGTTACTCCTGTGTTTCTTGTTCCTCTTTTGCTGTGGATCCTATCATGGATGTAAAGAATGTCAATATCAAAGCGAAGCCTAAGCATCAAGTACACGTTTTACTATCAAAATATATCTAAGAGTACAATATCAACAACCATAGTAGCTTAGGTTAATGTAACAACCTCAACTTGTAGATTTAGATGGTGTCTATTCATGCTCGGTTGTATAAAATGCTGGGTCTCTAAGATTCCATTCGCAGGGTTCCAACTGCTGTAAAGGAGTTCAACATATATATTTGTTAGAATCAAGCACTAAACCAAAATAAAATTCAGGGAAATTAAAAAACAGAAAGTAGAATTTTCGTTTGAAGTTCTTCCTTATCGAAACAATTTATATTTGTAAACATAATTAAGTACCTTGCTGTGGTAGTAGGTTGTGAATCACCATATACGAAGGTTGATCTTTCATACTCGCCTAACCCCATCTGTAAGGCCATGTGATTTGGACAAATTTAATTAGGTACTATTCAAGATCATATATATAAAAACCAAACATAAAAACATTAATTCAAACGCCCCTCTCTTCTTCAGATGCATTCATTCATTTTGTAAACAACAATTAATTCCAACCATTAACTATTTGGGTTGATGATGGTTTATAATGTGCATTAAGTTTTGGATTTTATTTTGTTGAACAAATATCTAGCTAGGGTTAGGGCCAATCAATAAGTAGAACCTCCCAAAAAAACCTAAAACTGACCAAAATTAATTTAATTTCAAATTTGAAAACTGTGTGATAACAATGATTAAAAAGACTATTTCCTTTACTTAATATTAAATCCACCTAGCTAAACTTTTCTGCTGTTATTTCTCCTACCAATATCGTACCCCATCATCAACTATGCAAGAACAACATTAACAAAGTAGTGACACACAAATCAAGTGAGAGACAAACATGAAGACCCACAAATACATAGAATGAAATCGAACCGTGGGTCTACTTTAGAGTCACTTCAACGGAAAATATAGAAAAGAAATTTTCATTTTATATACCGTGATGCTGGGGTGGCAACCATAAGAAGTTGGGGATGATGAGGATGATGAATAAGAAAAAGATGATGATGGTACTGATGAATAAGCAGTCTGCACTCGTACATCCTCCTGCATGAATAGTAGAAGAAAATTAAAAACTCGATGAAAATTATAGAACTTAATAATCTTCAACTACTATTCACTGCCTCACGGCAAGAAAGAAAGAGAAAGAGACAGAAATACCTGGTTGAAATTAGTAGGGTATGGAGTGTGAAAAGAAGGATGGTAATTACAACCCATTTGGCCATGTAATCTGATCTTCTCCAATTGAGCAACACCGAGACCTCTCTGTGGCTGCTTAGGCTTATCTGAATTCTTCTTTCCTTTCCTTGAAGATCCAGCTCTTTCATTTCCCAGGTTTGGCTCTCCAAAATAACCGCTACCCATTTTAAGTTTTCTTGTGTGCGTGAGTAAGAGGGAGGATGAAAGAGATAGGTAGATAGACGGTTTGGTTTGGTTTGGTTTGAAAATCCCTGGCTTTCTCTTACTGCAAAACTTGAGGCAAACGAGCTGCTGAGAAATCGGAGATCTCCTATACCCCTTTTAAAGCTGTTTGAAACAAAGTAATTATTGCATCGCTGGATCAGATTTTGTAAAGATTTAATCGATATATACACATAGATTTTATGCTCTTTTTCCCCCACCTTCTCTTTTGCCTCTTTGAGAACTTGTATAAATTGTTTATAATACACTATATAATAATATTAATGCCAATTTATAAATATATATTTATATTATAAAACTTTCCTTTAGTTATGGACTTGAAGACTACGACTTGAAAGCGATTGTCTCTCCGTTAAATGTATTTTAAAATTGCATTCTTAAAAAGGCAATGCCACCCTACGCGCCATTGCACTGTAATAATCTTTTGCTAACATAAAACATATGCATACGATACGAAGTTTCTATCTGGACATATGATTATCTGTACCCCTGCTCAGTGTAAATCATGTGGTGCCTACATCTCACGCTCTCCGATCTCATCGTCTGATATTTACTATATTAAATTTGATCGTCTAGAATTGTATTTATCATTCAGTCTTGAAAATGAAAAGCGGTCCCACTTTACATGTGATCTTTGAGTTCTATGATCAAATCGTCTCACCTGACTTAAACCCTAAGCCCCCAGCTGTGAAATTGTATAAGCAAACTTAACAAGAAAGGAAAATAATAAAATAAACGTTAAAAATCATTAAATTATAGATTCTAGAAATCTTATTAGCAGCTTCAAAGGGATTGTCATTTGGGGAGAAAAGAAATTCTCGTCATTAATATCTAAAGCTGTATCAATCTTAATTCATGAATTTTTTTTAATTTTTTTTTTTTTCCAAAATAAAATACAAATATGTTGCTGAAAGTGAAAGAAAGGATGGAAGTAGTTTCTAAAATAAGAGGGAAGAATTGATGGTAATGTGATTAGTGATTTGACCAAAAGATCGCGATAATTTGAATAAGATGATATGATGTAATAGAATAGAATAGAATAGGGAGGAACCAAATCTAGTTGAGCTGTTTCACGCATGATTTGTGGGTCATATTTTATGAGTTGTTTGTGTGGTGGAAAGTGAGAATCCTCCAATTTCTTATACAGGCATGTGAACTCTTGCAATTACCAATTAAACCCTATATATCCAAAACTATACACACACATATATAATAAGACCAAACTTAGTAATAAGCTTTAATTCGATCATATTCTACCTTATACCTGTGTTTTAATTTAAACCTATAGGACTGGTTAAAACAATTACACCACCAATCTTTTTGTGTACAGTCGCAGGGATCTATGCCACTAAATTTCTTTATGAAATTCTTACACTAGTTTAATTAGGATCATTGAATTTTATTATTTTGAATGTATATACTTCTCACCTGACTATTATTTTTGACATTTGTATTCAATTTTTATTTAAGATCAACTTAAATATGTAACGCATTAATAGAATGCTGGAAGATATGTATTTCATTTATATGCGGTAAAAAAACTAAAGTGATTATATAGATTATTGTATAAAGAAGATTAACCCAAAATAAAATTAATTTTACATTTTTTTTTCTTTTTTATTTTTACTAGACAAGGTACCTTCTTCATAACAATTTAAAGACATTGTAAAACAAATGCTTCAATAATCCCTGCTGTTGAAGAAAGAAGATCATATCGAGGATGCTGAAAAGATTGACATTTTAAAGGCAATTCACGTGGCAGTGACTTCTTATAAGAATTACAAAATCTAAATAAAGGAGCTTAAATATCTGAAGTCAACAAAGGTGAAGTCCCGAATTCGAAAATTCTATTACTATTACCCTATAGAACGTCTCAATAAAGGAAGACTTTGCTTACATCCCAAATTATGATGAAAGAATAGCTACACACCTCTAATCTTTTGAATAATCTATGGTGACGCCCAGTAAACTTCCCAACTTCATTGCTCTATCCAAAACATTGTAAATGACCCCAATCTTTGAAAAAAATTGGCTTCAACAACAAGAAAAATCTCAACAAATAATTTTATCAATTTGGGTATGTGATTAATTTACACTTTAATGTAGTATGAAAACGAGAAATAAATTAACTAATTAAAATTTTATATTTAGTTTTACAATATCACAAGCTAATAAAGTCAACAAGGCATGAGGTCAGTCATTATGGGTACGCAACCCTAGCTTTCTTACATAAATATTAATTGTGTGGTCCATGACTAATTTCAAAATAATATTAGATGTTTGAAATAAATGTGTAGAAAACTATAGCTTAAAATTTCAAATTGTATGATGAATTGCATCGTATATAAATGGTTTTTCTTGTGGTCTACATGCAGCAGCTAGGTCAATAAAAATACGATTTCTTGATGAATCCTTTGGACATTGTAGTCTAACTTAGGAGTAAATAATGTTACCATTCTCAATAAAAATTATTAAATTCAAATCTCGTGAATCAGATGATAATAAAAAAATAAGGTTTATATTGTGATAAATATTTGATTAAACAAACTCTCTCATTCGTGTATATATATCTACTTGCAGGGCATGACTAATAGCCAACTGCCACGTGTTGCAGCGTCTAAAACTGACGTATGAATATTCTTGCCTTCATGAAAACATAAACATCCATTAGTTTAATATATATATATATATATCCACACATTTGTTTAGGATTTAAAATAGAAAAAGCATAGGAATGGATTAAATTAATACGCCTGAATTTGGACAGTGTATTGTCTACATGGGTTTAACTTGATGATGTGACCATAAGCTGGCTTCTATACTTATTCCTTGAACATAGAAATATAATAATATAAGAAAATTAAAGTAGAGAAGAAAAGAAGGGATTATGTTGATTGGGTGTGATTTGATGAGTGATGTTGTTGGAAAATAATATAATATTAAGAAGAAACAAAGACAAAGCTTAGTGGAGAGAGATGTAGAGAATATGATATCTACTGTAGATTTGTGGGCACATGCAAACTTACAGGATGCATTACTCCACACGATTTGCAAAGCAATATGATCCCTTAGAAAACGCTGTCTATGTGTCTGTGAAGAGCCAAAATTAAAATAAAAAGAGCCCCCACTGCTTCCAAATCCATCCAATTATAAAACCAAATCACCTTCTATCTCATTTTTTATTAGATTTTTCATTGATTATTCCTATATCTACACGGGGACTTGTACCAAACACCTTAGACAGTGAAGGGGTTTCCTTTGATTTTCGTCTTTCTTTTTGGTGATCCATGGCTGAGATCGATTAACCTGGAGTTGAGTTTGTGTGTAAGAGGGAAATATCATAGAAAGAGTAGACTCTAGGTATCTTAACTTTTTTAGTTTTATATATATAAGAATCCTCCAAGATTCTTGAAAAAGATCGATCATCCAATATGATCACATCTGCTGGCGTGATATGATCTCTCTACTTTTATTTATAACATTCTTTAATTATTTTTTATTTTTGTTGGGTCATATATATATATATCATCAGTAGGGTTATTTATGAATAATCATTGGTTTATTAAAATTCAGTAAAATATTATGAAGATTCAAATCTGATGTCCTTATATTTCTATTACAAATTATATTTTATACGTACTATTTGGTAATCTAGACAACAATTTTGGCAAATGATATTGTCTAGTGTTATTATTCTATGTGCACAAAACTTTCATTTTGTTTGTCACAAATCCCAAATATCTTTATTTTGATGAGAATCGTTGCTCTTGGAGTCAGGGATTTGAAGGTTTCTCAGCAATTTCTCGTCTTGACAAAATGTTTGACCAACTTGAGTAGAATTTGTATACCTTTCCATTCATTTATGGTGAGTAGAGCAATTGCGAAGTGATATAGTGCTTGCATTGTATTTGTTTTGCAAGCTGCATTCAGCATCGGTAAACCTATGTATACATCATATTTGATGAAGACTCAATGTGTTCCAAGCAGTAATAAAGCATGTATATTTTCTGCATTTGCAAAAGTTTTTAAAATTGAAAGTCCTTGTGGCGTGATTGCTAGTAGCTTGGATCTTTGCTTGTAGATATTTCTTTACACAGTACTTTCTTTGTATTTGCTTGTTTGTTAAGATATTTGCATCTGCAAAATGTTAGATAAATAAAGTGTAATTTATATCTTGTGATAGTATTTTGATATAGTAATCAATACCACTCGAGTTAGTAGTCCTTACGTCAACCAAATTGTGCATCGAGTCTGGATGCTTCTTCAAGTTGTTTTGACAATGATTTGTTGTACTATATCTGTCGGAAGTTGTAAAATATTACTGATTTTTGTTGTTAAATCTTCGTCAGCTAATTTTATATCAATCAATCTTAATAATTAGCTTTTTGTTGTCATACTAATCTTTACTGATATTCACATTAATACAGCTGTTTATTATTAATTGCTCTTTGCTGATTATATAAAAAGTAGCTAACAACTTTATTTTTAACTTAGAGTATCTCTAAATGACTCTTTATGTGACCTAAACTCTTTATTATAAAGAGTTTATCCATAGAAACAATAATCCGAACTCTTTATTCTTTAGTATAAATTAAAGAGTGAGTTTGACTCTCCACATTTCACATTCAGAGATTCAAATTTCACTCTCTATCCTAATTTTAAATAATAAATTGTAAGTTTTTATACATTTTTTATGATTTATCTTTCTATAAGTTTCTTTCTTGAAAAAATATTCTCTCTCTCTAAAATTTAAAGAGTCTATTGGATTTGAATAAAAATTTGTTCTTTATATTTAAAAATTAATAAAAATATCTTTTAGTTATATGATATATACTATTTAAATAAAGAATACCATTAAAGCGATCAACAACATCAAGCTCCATGATATTGGCCCTCCTGAGTGATGGCAGAACAATAATTGTCGATTAAAAAGAATGGGGCCTGTCAGTATTATAAAATTATATGGATTTATTGTTGGCCATTTTTCTTCACCATAATTGAAAACCTAAATTTTACGGTTTGCTTTTTAAGAAACATAGTAAAATACACTTTCACTTTTTTTATAAAGGTGAAAAGAGTGGAGCCGAAAGAAGCCAGCTGCTTCTGCTTGGCTCCTTCCTTCTTCGATGGTCGCGGTGATTAATGACATGAAATGAGATGCTGTCAAACATTGAAAAGGCATCTTTTTAGTGTATTTGAGGCAAATTTTCTTAACCCATAATGAAAATTGATA